TTTCTTAAGCTAATTAAGTAACTTAATAATATAAGTTAGTAATAAATTAAGATACTACGTAATCTTTCTCTAAATTAGAGTTAATTATAACTTTAATTTAGTAGAATTATTAGGTATTTTATACTTCTAGGTAGTAGTATTATTAGTAGAAAGTATTAGCGTGCGTAATTAAACTTTAAGCTTTAATACTACTAAATCTAGGTTAAATAGAACTAAGCTAGCGTCTTTAAACTCTACTCTAATATTATTATCTATAATTAACACGTAAAAAGTCGCGTAAAATATAGATAGAAACTTAATTTTTATAATATAGTTAATATAGCTATATATTAGATTCTTAACTTAGCGTCTATATACTATCTTTAATAGTAAGAAGTAGCTAATATTAAGTAGCTATAGAAGGTATAATAAATATACTAGTATATAGAGAACTATAATTTTATTCTTTTTATAGTACTACTAGAATTTAATAGAGCTATAGCTTTTATAGCTATCTAAAATTAGTAGATAATATATATCTATAACGCGACTCTTAGTATACGCGTTAAAGTGCTTTAACTACGCGATACTAACTTTATTTATTATCTAGCTACTTTTAGAGATAGCTATAACCTAATTATATAGTAGCTAGCTATCTTTATACTACGCTAAAAGGTAGTTCTTACTTATAATAATAAGAAATAGTAGAATCTATATATTATCTACTACTCTTACTATTATAATTACTAAAATCTACTTATAATTATCTAGTTAAAGACTCTTTAGTTATAATTATCTCTTAGAGCTAGTAACTACTATCTAAGATAATATTATTTCTATTATAAAGCTAGATTTATTAAAATTATATATATTTTTATTAGTAATACTATACTTCGCCTTTATATTACCTACTAGGTTAAACTACGCCTAAATAATTATAGTATCTTTTTACTTTACTCTCTAATAGTTATACTTATAATTAAGCTATATTTTAAGCTTAGAATAATGTATAATAAAGTAGTTTAGCTAGATTTAACTAATAGCGTTCTTATCTTACTTAGTAAGTAGCTTATTAGCTATATCTTAAATAGTAGTAAGCTAGAGAGTAAATTCTTACGCGTCTAGGTTAAGTATATACTTAACTATTACCTACTCTTTATTCTTTATAAGCTTTATTAAATTAGGTATCTTTTTATATTATAGAGTAATTCTATTACGTTAACTATAAACTTTCTTTTACTCTACGTTATAGAGAGCTATAGCGCGCTATAAGCTTAGCTCTAGATTCTATTAAATAGTCTAGAGCGTAAGCTATATCTAGAATTTGTCTAAAGTTAATTAGACGTTTATAGAGAGCGTTATAATAGAGATAGTAGTATTTAGTAAAGACTTAGTATTTTTAGAGAGTTTAGTAATATAGAGAGTTTAATAATAAAGTATATTACTAATACTACTAAGTACCTTTTCTATAATAATTACTTATTTTAAAGTATTAGATAAGTATAAGAGCTACTTAAACTTAGATAAGTAAAAGTCTATCTTCTCTATCTTAACTATATTATAATATATAGTAATAGTCTACTTAGTAAAGCTACTTACGTAGTACTAATCTATATATACTATCTACTTATTAATTTCTATAGAGTAGGTCTTCTTTAGAACTAGAGAGTAGACTAGGTTAGTAAAAATATAGAGCTTATTCTTATTAAAAGTAGTAATAACGTAAATATAAGTAGACTTAGTTTTACTATATTAAATATAGCTCTTAGCTTTAGTAGAGTTTACTAGCTACTTATAGTAGTGTATACTATACTTAATAAGGTTTTTAGAGTAGCTAATATATAGAGCTTCTATAATATAGTCTATATTCTTATCTACTAGATTAATAATATAGTAGTAGTAGCTAGTAGTATAGAAAGAAAAAGTAAAAATCTTAAGTAAAGTAATATAGTAAAGTTAAGAAGAATAAGTAGTTAAAGTATAGTAATATAATATATTAGCCTAGAACTAATATATTAAACTATAGAATTAATAATATATATTAACGTCTATTAGCTTCTTCTTTAGAGAGAAAGAGTAGAGTGTATTATAAGAATTATAACGTAACTTCTTAGTAAATAGTAGATACTTTTTAATACTACTTATCTAAACATAATATTTCTTCTTCTTTTTACGTAGAAAGCTCTTATACGCTAAAGTTTAGATCTTACTATAGCTAGGTATAAAACGCTTAGAAGTTACTACTAAAGAAGCGCGCTATAGACTAGAGTTTAAGGTCTTTCTAGGTATAAAGTAGGCTATTATAAAAAGCTTATAGATAAGATAGAGAAGTAAATAATATAGTAGAAGAAGTATAGAAGAGTAAAGCTACTAAAGTTTATAAGTATAGTAGATAGAATAGAAAAAAGTAGAGAAGTAATAAAGAAAACCTCTAGAGAAAAAAATACTAATTTATTATCTATAAGCGTTATCTAGAGTAATTAGTAGTAAGTCTATCTAGTATTATACTACTAGAAGATAGATAAATACTTCTTTACTAATATTATAAATAATAAATAATCTATAAATTTATACTACTCTTTACTCTTACTCTCTAGTAACTATAGTTCTAAATTTATAGAATTCTTAGAATAATAGTTCTCTCTCTAATCTAATATTATATAAAATAGTAGAGAAGTTTAATTATAAATATATCTAGAGTCTTACCTCTAGAAAAAGATACTAGTAATACTAACGTAGAATAATAAGTTATATCTAGTCTTAAAGCTACTAGAGTTTAGAAGTACTCTACTTATACCTAGACTATCTACTTATAGATAAGTATACTCTCTTTAACTCTAATAAAACTATACTAGAAGGCTTATAGATACTTCTAGAAAGAGAAGAGAAGAGAAGGTATATATAATAGGCTAAGTCTATAGTAGTTATTCTTAGCTAAAGACCTTAGTAAGCTACTCTAAATAATATAACTCTAGAGTAGTCTACTCTTTATTTAAGTATTCTACTAGAGCTCTTATAGCTTCTTATTAAACTTATCTATATTCTATCTATACTTACTCTTAGAGCTCTATCTCTTATACTATAAGAAACTACTTCTAGACTAAACTAGACCTAAAGATCTATATAAATCTAAGTGTAAAGAGAAGAATAGATAAGTTTATATAGACTTAAGTATATATAGCCTAGTAGTTTTAAAAGGTATAATAATACTATAAGCGTTGTAATAACGAATTCGGCTATAAATAGATTACTAGATAGAAGTAGTTAAGGTTAGTATGTAAGTAGATTATAGTGCTAATTTTACTAATTAGTAATAGAATTTCCTTTAACTATAGAGAGTAACGTAGCTAAAGAAAACTATAGTATAATAGACGTTAAGTTATGCAACAGACGTTAAGTTAAGCAACAGAGTATTAGATTATTAAGAGAACGGTTACTACGCGGCTGCTAGAAATAAAGAATACCGTGCTAGACAGCACGGCGATCTTAAAACGCAGTTTTAGTAGAGGCACATGCAGCTTAACGAAGCGTAGGTAGAGGCTGCGTATACGAAAGCTGTGCGCATAGGGCTGCTAACAAAGCCTCTAGCAGCAACGCCCTAAACTTGCTAGTCGATTTAAAAACCTTAGCTAGCGAGACGCAGATGTAGCGCAAAGCCGCAAGAAAGCAAAAGCAGGGCAAGAAGGCTAACTTAGAGAATGCGAAGAAGAAAGTCCTAGTTTAATAGCTAACGTGCGCGTACTAGGCGTAAGCGTAGTAGATAGAGTTAGACTAGTAAGTAAATAAGAAGACATATCTAGATTCTGTTATATTCTATTCTACTATTATTCTATTATATTCTATTCTACTGTTATCTTAATTAAATACATAGTATAGTAATATAGACTCTAATATAGAAAGAAACCTATTACCTAGTATTATATACCTAAGCCTTCTATCCTTATAACAGTTTATTACTCGCCTCGCTATAACTCTTCTAGTCTAAGCCTACCTATCCCTCTTCTAGTCTAAGCTTACCTATCTCTCTTCTAGTCTAAGCCTACCTATCCCTCTACTATTTCTTAGCTAAGCCTTCTATTCTTATAAAGTCTATTACTCGCCCCGCTACAGCTTCTCTAGTCTAATCCCTAACCGTCCTTCTCCTACTGCCGATGCCAACGTCGACTCTACTGTTAACCCTAACCCTGGCCCTAGCCCTAGCCCTGGCCCTAGCCCTGCTGCTGTCCCTGCTGCTGTCCCTGCTGCCCCTGCTACTGTCCCTGCTGCTGTCCCTGCTGTCCCTGCTGTCTCTGCTGTAGCAGAGGCAGAGGCCTCTGCGTTAGATTATAAGGATTTTACCTACTATATAGGTTGTAAGCTCTCTACGTTGTATGTATATCGCCTAGCATAATTAGATTGTACTAGAAATTTAGGCCTAGTTACTTCTGCGCTACGTATTACTCTACTACTCTGCGAAGACTATGTCCGCAAGCATATATAAGGGTGTATCGAATATACATAGTACTAAATTCTTTAGAAGGCGCTTAGTATAGAGCGTTCTTATTACGCTTTAGGTTTAGGTTTAGGTTTAGTATTAGTGTTAGTGTTCCTGTTAGTATTAGAGTTTTTAATAGTAGTTTAGAACGCTAGATACGTATTTAATAGAGATGTAGTTATATTAATAGTACTTTAGCGATATAGTAGAAGAGTGTAGCTTCTATAAAAGTTAACGTTTTATACCTTTGTTAGAGAGAAGTTAATAGAGCTATAATTTAATACGCGACTTAGCTATATTAGTAATACTAGTTAATTAACATACTATTACTCTTTCTAACGCCTATATATAGTCTATTCGTAGAATAACTATACGTTACTTACGTAATAGATAGCTATCTACTACTACATGTTCGTTTAGTAACTTATATATATTAACTAACTCTTTACAAGGTTCTTCTAACAGCGTTATAGTTTCTATTAACTACGCTATCTACTCTACGCGATATATCTTCCTTTATATTATTATATAGCTTGTTACTAAGCTTAAGGTTACCTTATTTAGACTATAAACTAGCTTAGAACATTCTTTTCTCTTACGCCTTTAGGCTAGCTTTACTAGCCGCTTCTCTTCTAGTAGAGTAGATTATCCTATTCTTTACACCTTTTAAACACGGCTCGCGCTACTAGCTAGAAGCCTACAACTTCTCCGTATTTGCGGTGCTTAGGTAGAGTTCGCGAAGCTGCTCCTGTTACGTATTATTTTCCCTTCGCCGCGCTTCTCTACTACCCTTCTACTATAGCAAACAACAGTTTATATTTATATGCGTAGACTTAAGTAGTTAACGTTAGTTGCCTAGTAGAAGTAGACTGCAGAAGCGTTTTTAGAACGGATAAGGCGGGCGAGGCAAGAGTAGAGTTAAACGTTAAGAGAGAAGTATATAGGTACTAGATACTTCTAGAGTTATAGCTAGGCGAGGCGCTAGTTATACAGAGCTAGAGGGGAGAGTAAAGAATATATAAGAACTTAATTCTTTATTATTTAAGAATGTTTGTTATATTAGTATGTATAGTTTATTACTAGCCGCGGTGTATCTATTATAGAGACGACGCACGACAAGCTACGCAAAAGATACTGTAGTAGTAGAATAAGTAGTAATAATCTATAATAATTAATAGCTGCTAGCGTAGAAAGATTTAATTATAGAGTAGAGGGCCTCTTAGAATTAACTTAGAGAAGAAAGTTAAAGATAGAAGAACTTAGCAGAGCTCTTATCTATATGTTAGCGCTAAGCTAGAACTTCTACAGCATATTATGTCTATTAACTTAATTATGCATAATTATTACGTAGCGAGGTACGAGCAGAGTAATTATAATTAAGTTTGCAGAACGCTAGCGAAACTACGGTTCTTAATTTAGACGAAAAAATTACCTAATTAGAGACTCTAACATTCTGCTAAAAATTAATCGGGTGTAATTAGAATCGGGTGCGATTAGATACAATTAATTAGCTAATAGAACAATAGGAATCTGCACTACTACATAGCTACGGCTAATTAGAGCCCTGCGCAGCCTTTCTAGCCACAGAATATCTAGCTAGCTAGCTAGCCAGCCCGCGCGCGCCTACCTATAACACGCTCTACGCCGCGCTCGCTTAGCTTTGTATAGCCGTCGCATATATTTCTAAGCGATTCTAGCGTAACAGGCAGTAATAATACGGCGCTAGCAGGCGTTATAGGTATACCTGCGGACCTAAAGTTATTTAGAAGTAACTCGCGGAGCAACTACAACTAGATATACTAGTGCGTCTAGCCGCGGCTTTATTAGCCGCGTGCTTACTTAATTTTGTATAGCTATCGTATATATTTGTAAGTAATCCTCGCGCAATATATATTAATAATATCGCGATTTCTACGCCTTACAGCTATCGTAGAGCTGCCTGCAGCTAGCTTTCTAAAGTTTTAGTATTTCTTGCTAAGAGTACTAGCGGAAGCTTACCTGTACAGGCTTAGCGCCTTTCTAATTAGGGATAGCTTCTTCTTTCGTCTTATATTAGGCGACTTACTACGCCTTCTAATTATTTATAAATAATTAGCTCTATATATTATATATCTATAGTTAGAGAAAAAAACTCTAGAAAGATTTTTTTTTAATTCTATCTCTTATTACGCTATATCTAGAAAAGCTAGCTCTATAAAAGTTTTTTAAAAACCTTTATTATATAATAAATATTATATACTATAAGTTTTATAGATTATTATAGAAATATAATAGTACTTACTAGAAGTAAACTAGATTTTTTTTTAAAAGTTAGTTAACGTACTTTATAAGCGAGCTAGTTACACAAGCAAGCTAGTTACCTTCTCTTAGCAACGAAAATTAACGAAAATTAACTCGTTTTTCTTAAATAACTAAGCGAAACCTTAATAGTTTTCTATAAAAATGTATATATATATTCTCTATAGTATATTATACCTTATAGTAAAGTTATACTAAGATATATTACGTAATTAAAAAGCTATACGTATTTAACTAACTTTTAAGAAAAAATCTAGTTTACTTCTAGTAAGTACTATTATATCTCTATAATAATATATAAAACTTATAGTATATAGTATCTATAATGTAATAAAGGTTTCTAGAAAACTTTTATAGAGCTAGCTCTTCTAGATATAGCGTAATAAGAGATAGAAGTTTAAAAAATTCTTTTTAGAGTTTTCTTCTCTAACTATATATAGATATTAATAATCTAGCTATATAAAGCTATATATTATAAGCTTATATATATTATAAGGTTTCTAGATATTTAGAAGTAATAATTTTAAGATAGTTTTAGTATAGTTCTATCTTTTTCTACTATACTATAAAAAGGCTTTATATTACAAGCTATTCTCTTAACTAAGACTAAGGCTTACTTTCGTAAAAGAATATAAGAGGTATGCTTTAGGCTAGAATCTTTAGTAACAAAGAGGTAGAGGTAATAATACTATAAATTACAAGTTATAGTAGTAATTTAATAAATAAAGTAATAACTATAAGAAGCTATAAAAAGTAAGCTTCTTCTAGTTATATATATATACTATCTTAGCTAGATTAGATACTAAGGTCTAGCTTCTATAGATTCTCTAGATTAAGTTCTAATTTATAGATTAGGTTCTAATCTCTTTAATTCGCCTAATCTACGTTACGTAACTCTAATTATTTCTATAACTTTATACGTAATCTCTTATTCTATAACTCTAGGCTTAGCCTACTATTTTCTCTATTCTAGCTAGCTAACTCTATTCTTAATTCTATAATTATAATACTCGCCTCTTCTTTTAAAGCGTTATTCTAAAGCTCTATTCTATTTCTAGGTATAGTATTTTATTATTTCGCGCTATTCTTATATAAGAGTAGTACTATCTATAGTTCTATAGTATTATATTCTCTCTTTTCTTTCTATTCTTACTATGCCGCCTACGCGTGCTAAATCTTTAATAGTCTACTATTACTATTACGCTAACCTTATTCTACGCACTAGCGTTAATATATTTAATAACTCTTATAGTACTTACTATTCTTATAACCTACGTTATATTATAGAGGTATTTTCTAGTTACTATTTAAAGTATATTATAAAGAGTTAGTCTTATAATAAGGTATTAGACTAGAAAGAGGTAAAGAAGCTAGATTAGCTAGTAGCTAACCTGCGTTTCTAGTAGTCTAAGGCTAGTCTTAAGGCGGAGCGCCTTACTAAGACTTAGTAAATAGAGTTAGTTTATCTTTATATAGAGCTAGATTGTCTATATTTCTAGAAGGCGTCTCTAAGTAAATTCTAGTAGTCTATAGATACTTATAGTAAGCGTCTACAAAAGTAGTTAGAGCTAGTATAGCGTTATTACAACGCGCTACTTTCTAAGAATCTTACTAATATTAAGAAGCTAGAGTAGCTAGAGCGTAAGGTATAGTAACTCTTATAGCTATAACCTTTTATTTCTTTAGTTAATTTCTTCTAGTTATTTAACTAGAGCTATTTAGAGAATCTAGAGTTCTAGTCTTCTAGTTTTAGAGTTAGTACTACTAATAAAACTTCTTAAGTTTCTTAGAGTAGTTCTTAAGGTTTTCTAGTAGTTTCTAGGTATTCTTCTCTAGTAGGTATTCTTTCTATCTAATCTAGTACTTCTACTAACCTTGTATACGCTTTTTATCTAGTATTCTTTTAACTTTAAAGTTCTAGTCTAGTTCTACCTTAGTTTATTTATTAAGTAGTACGTTATTAGGCGCTAGTTTAAGTTTAGATTTATAGAATATAGAGTATATTCTTATTATTAGTAGTAGCTTTAGCCTAAAGCTAACAGGTCTAAGTTACTTATCTATCTTAAATAGTCTAATTCTTAGGTAATTAAGTTTCTTACTAGGTTGTTTAGTGCGTAAGTTTTTTCGTAGAATAAAAACTTTACTTCTCTTCTTAAAGGTTAGTCTTTTAATTCTTTTCTTATTTACTTATTAAGTTATTTTTTTTACTATTTTCTATAGCTTATTATAGATTACTTTTATTTAGCGTTCTTTTTCTTCTACTTTTAGAGAGATAGTAGCTATATATATTAGAAATCTATAGATTCTAGCTTTATAGCTATAATATACTTAATAGAGAGTTATCTTTATTATTTCTTATTTTACTATATTATATACTAGTTATACTATAGGTAATAGTTTAATCTAGTTATTCTATTCTTAGTTAACGTAACTTCTTAGGTATTCTTCTAGAGTTTAGTTTATTTATTCTATTTATCTATTAGTCTATAGGTAGAAGCTAGTTAATATTTAGTTATTTATTTCTATTTAGCTAAGTAGTGCGTTCTAGAACTTAGACGTAAATAGTTTATTTCTATCTATAGTAACTTATTCTAGTATTCTATACTAGCTAAATAGTTATTAGCTTATCTTATTAGCTAGTTCTTTAGCTTTAAAAGTTTTACTAGTTAGATAGAAATATACATATTTAGTAAATTAGTCTATAATTA